CGGAGGCAGCCTGCCAGCCACACGCAGCCTGGGGACCACAGTGCCCCGCTGCTGGGGACAAACTGCCCCTGCCTGCCCGGCCCCTACACCCCGGAGCCCCCCTGGGGTCCTGCTGGGCGTCCCCTCCCTCACACCAGCCTTGGCCAGCATGCTTATTCTGGGGGGTGGCTGGAAAGGGGACAAACCATCACCCATCAGCAACCAAGCCAGGCTCTGCCCCCTCCCCGCAGTACCCGGAGCACCCAGGCACACCAGGAATGGTGTCCCTCCTTAGGGGTGCCCCCCACTCAGCCCCCTAGCCCAGCACCCTGTGCCCCAACCCCACCTGGCACCCCCTGCCCGAGCAGCAGTGGGTTCAGGGACATCCTGGTCCTTGTGGGCAACCTGTGGGCCTGTGGTCGTGGTGCAGACGGGTTTGCAGGGTGCAGTGCCCCAAGGCAGCCAGGCCCCAGGGTCTCTCCGCTCAGAGAGTGACCCAGCACAGCCTGGGCACGGGGCCGGGACTCAGGCTCGTCCGGTGCTTGGCAGGGTGAGGGTAAACATTTGTCTACTTTACAGCAGGTACTTGCAGAGGGGCTGGGCCGGTGCCAGGCTCCATCAGCCTGCTGCCCTCCGCCTTGTTGCCAGGGAGGGGGGCCTGGAGTCTGGGGACACGCTCCGGCAAGCAAACCCTGGCTGAGCTCAGCAAAATACAGCACCCATCGGTGCCAAAGCACAGCCTGGCTGGGGACAGGCGATGGGGCCGCAGGAGACAGGAGCCAGCCCCAAGACCCAGCCACAACTATCATCTCAAGACCATGCAGGCACCTCAGACAGGAGAACACTGAGCCCCCAGGCAGCCCCTGCCCTCCATGTCCCTGCACATGCTGCGTCCCCCCAGCTCGCCTTCAGGTGCAGGAGGGGTCGGGTGACCCGGCCACAGCCCCTTGGGGCACACAGGGTCATTGCCAGCGCCAGGTGCCTCACAGCCCTGCCCTGGGCTGGAATGCTGCTGCCTGCAGCAGGAGCCAGGTCTCACCTTCAGTGCAGCCTCCTCCCTCTGCTCTGCCAGGTCATTCGGGGCTCCTGTCCCTGGGCAGGACCTGAGGGTCCCTGGGCAGCCAGCACCCCCAGCCAGGCTGGGGCTGCTCCCACACAACCCCATGGCCACTGGGCTCAGGGCTGCAGCCCTCTTGGGTGGGGAAATGGGGGTCCAGCGGTTTGGCCCGGCTCATCCCGGGATAAACCACCCCATCGTCTCTGCCCTCTTCTGCACGGGCGAGGGTAAAGGGAGCAGCAGAGGGACTCACCCTGCCACAGCACGGTCCTTGGTCCTTGGCCTCCCACAGACCCGCGGGGCTGAGGCTCTGGCAGGATGTGGGAAGGGGCAGCAAGGCCAGAGCCGTTACCGGAGGCAGCTGCGCACAAACATCTCCTCGCTGCAGAGGAAGCACGTATGGACGGACACATCCTGTACTGGGGACTGCCGTGCCATGGCGTGGGGCTGGACGCAGGCATGGCCCATCGCAGCCAGGGCTGCCTGCCCCAGCCAAAACCCCCCAGGCACCCCCGTGTCCCAGGCCTGGAGCAGAGCAGGACGCGGGCACCACGACGAGCTCCTTGCTGCGGGCAAGCCAGAGTTTCCCCCCCCCAACTGTCCCAGTGCCTGCCTGTCCCCATGTCCCAGCCCCAGGACACAGCCCAGAGCCCCGCTCACCTGCTCCCTCCACCGCGCTGCTCCAGCAGCCGACAGGAGGAGGAGGAGGGCTGGCAGAGGAGAGGAAGAAG